AACTTGCAATTAGTTCTCAAACTCTCTTAACCTGTCATTCATATATATTATCTATTTCTTTTTCTCTGAAACATCCTAGAAAATTCCTTCTGACCTGTACTCCAGTTAGCAAATTCTCTTTTTAATTGAGCCTGATTTATTAAACCCACACACCTAGATTTAAGTTTTGTATTTTAAAATTTCTACAAGTTCTATTTGGTTGTTTTTAATTTAATATGCTAGATTAATTTTTAATTTTTCACTGGAGAAGACATTTTCAAATCTGTAGCTTATTTCTAAATATAGTATTATAGATGTTTATGTAATCTATGTTGACATTTCCAGTATCCAAAGGCTCTGTAGCTCTATGTCTACTACATATTATTTTTGCTGAGACTTATTAGTGACTTTACTTTTATTTAGGGCTTAGTTTTGATTTTATCATGCACTGTTCATTGTCCTTGGCAAACTGTGAGGATGCTTTGAGGCTTAACAAAAAGACATTACCTATTCAGCCTTCTTCTGCATAGCTTCTGCCTGATCTCAGCCCTCACCTTTATCTGCTATGCTCCATATAGGTGCCTGCTTCAGCTAAGATAAATAACAAGTATAGCATTTGTACTTTCTAGTGGGTTATGCACCCTTTGGAAGTCAATTGCTGTTAGCACTTTCTAAGATCAGCCCCTGCTTGACCCTTCTGTTGCAAGTGCTTTTAGCAGACCATAGGTATATGGAGTCTTCAGACTTTCATTGCCTCATGCTTTCCCTGAAATTGGAGGTTATACATTTCATTCTCTTTGTGAATTTGCATAAGAACAGAGGGGACAGATTCTTTTCTCTACTGTCATCATGCATATTGGGAACAAAGTCCTGTCTTTTATGAAAGCCAAAATGTACAAAAGAGCTTATGTTGGTTGTGCTAATGTAGGAGGAGAGAGGAAGAAGGTTTTTGAGAAGCCACGAGGTAAAGAGACGAGGTTTTTCTTTACCAGAAAACAGTCCTTGGGCTCCAGAGGAGTGGTATCCCTATAAGAGTTGAAACTTTCATGTAAAAAGAGACATCTAGGAGGTGTAAACTTCCCAGGACCAGGCTGAACAGCAACCTAGAAAGAAGGGACACAACACACTTTGCTTTTCCACTTTGCTAAAAATTCCAGCAGTTCATGAGTGGCTTGGAAGCAGAGAGAAGGCATATTTCAGCAGGGGCAATGATAGCCTGGAGAAGAGCAGCATTCTCTTCCCTTTCCAAAGAGAGGATAAGCCTGAAGGATTCTGTTCCTCCTTGGGAAGGAGAACATGCCACTGCTATTGTTGAGAGGGAATTTTCCACCAGTGTGTGCGCTGAAAACTTGGAGGCAGACATTAAGAAAATAAAAAGAGTAATATTTGTCTACTTCTGAATTTGTAGACTAAGACACATGCCCACTATAGAAATGATTATTACAATTAGAGAGGAAGGACAGATGATAGGGAAACAAAGAAGATGAGGTGACCTAACTGGGACTGATGCTAAGAACTTCAAGCTCGGTCTTGCAAAATGAACAGGAGTTTTCTAGGCAAGGAGGGAAGGACCTTCCAAGCAAACAAATATGGATAAGAACTAGAGAATGACGTCTTTGCAATGTTTTAATCAATTGATATGGCTAAGTCTGCAAATATTAATGTTCACCTTATAATCATGTTTTTGTATATTTATAAACTTAGTTTAATTGGAACTCTCCAGTTGCTGTCACAGAAGCATAGAAACAGCCCAAGGAAGCTGTGGTAGAGAATCAAGATTATTTCTGATCCTGAGGGTTTTCGCTTAGTATACTCCCTTCCACTACCCAAAAGAATTAAAACAAACTTTTATTTAAAAAAAATCAGCATGAAGGAGGGTCTATTTTGCAGTGTTTCTTTGCCTTTAAAAGTAACTTAAAATGTAATTATTCTAAAGTACTATCAATTCTGATAGCTGTAGGATAAACATAACTCTAGTGGGCTTTCTGGAGTGCTTTTCTGCCTATTAAAGAACAATTAATTTAGGTCCTGACCAATATGGCTCATTTGATTAGGTGTCATTGAACAAAGCAAAAGGTTGTTGGTTCAATTCCCAGTCAGGGCATATGAGAGGATTGCAGGTTTGGTCCCCAGTCTAGACACATATGGGAGGCAACCAAAGTTTCTCACATCAATGTTTCCCTTTCTTTCTCCCTCCCCTCCCCTCTCACTCAAAAATAAATAAATAAAATAAAAAAAAACAAAACCAAAACAACTTTGCTCTCCAAGATACTGTATTACCTACAGCTACAAAAGAGCTGCATCAGGCTTTGATGTAACAATTAGCATCATTTAAATATTTACCTAGGTCTGCTTGAGGGGTTTATATGACAGCATATTAGAATATGAAGGTCGTCTCTATCATCACTGCGCTGATACTATAATTTGCTGGATAAATAAAAAATTTATTCCATCAGATAGAAATTTTACTCCCTTTTGACCTTATTCAAGATACACACACAAGAAGACACCAGAATTGTGAGGGCTGTCGTGCTCCATGAAATGACCCACATTCTGTTTTAGCCGTGTTTTTGCGCTTGTCTACCATTCCCCAGAATTTCCAAGGGATATATGTGGCATTAGAAATTTATGTTGTTCTTTCCATCAGAAAAAGGCACTTCTTTTCACCCAAATTTACTTGTCTTTTTGAATTCTGTACTCTGTTAATCATATTTTATTTTTACCTTCTCAGAAAACCCAGAAATATATATGGCTTCTGAGTCTTTTTTCCCTAGTTTTCAGAGTATAGACTTTATATAAAAGGTTTAGACTGAGATAGTCGCATAATCTGACCTTTGTCTAAGAAAATAAGTGTTATGATAACAAAATAAATAAGAATCAACAGAAAATGGATAAAGTCAGTATTGACGCCACCTCTCCTTTCAGGAGAAGGATTATAAATATGCTTCTGGATAGAAACTGGAAACATCCAACTTCGATCTTTGTGGTGGGGGGACAAGAGCAGGACTATGTTCAGAATTGAAATGTAGTGTTATAGTAAAGTTTATAAAAATAGAAACATTGAGTTTAATTATTTGTGAGTACTTATACCATACAAATATGAGCTGAACCATGTATGATTTAATATTCTAACCATGTAAGAGATGTATTATTTTATAAGGCAGGATGATTCATGCATTTAATAGACATGGAACACTTATTATGAGTCAGACAGTGTGCCAAGAACTAAATACCCAAGGAGGAGCCTAAAATGATCTCTACCTCCAAAAGGCTTGCAGTTTAGTAGCAAGTGGTTCTGATTTGTGTTCATTTGTGTTACTGAGTCCCCACTAGGACAGAAGCCCCTCTAAAGGCAGGAAAATAACTGTGCTATTTGCCCCATTATCCCCCACACCAGACTCTGTGTCTGACACAGAGATGATGCTTAAGGAGCTTCTGCTGAATCAGTGGGTATGTTTATTCAGTATCTGCTCTGTGCCAGGCACCATGCAATAAGCGTAATCACAGTCTGGAGGTGGTTCCCCAAGCTTTTCGCACAGCCTTATGTGATTTATCAATTACTCTTAGCCTTGATGTGGTCTGTTGGTCACTTTAGAAAACTTTTTAATTTCAGATTTTTGAAGCTTTATTCTTGACATATTTTCAAACTCAGATATAAACTGTACTACTTCTAAGAACTGAACTAGGTCTTAGTGATGAATTGGGTAAAATGTAAACCATCATAGCAACAGCTTCTATTTATTGAAATATTATTTACTCATCAGTATGTGTCAGGCCCACTGGACATTTGTGCGGTAATTTTAGGTAGATGAAACCTAAAATTTTTTCTTAGATGTTAAACTCATTTTAATGTGTTTCAGGAAGAAAGTAATGACGTAATAAATCAGTGATTTATTGGATATTATGAATATGGCTTGGAATAAGGTTAAAATTCTTCCACACATAAATAACCTGATTTAAAGATAATTAAAGAAAAAAAAACTTACGTATATAATGGTATAGGTGGTACCTGTATATAACAAAAACTACAAAGGTGGTGTGCAAAATTTGACTATTTGGGACCATCTATGTGATTTCATAGGTTACCTAAAACATGTGGAAGAAGGCAGTACATGTGTAAAGAGTCACCCTGTGTGTGCATACAGCATCCAAAGTCAAACTGTTGGGTTAAATGCCTCACAGTGGCTGGATCAAGATTCAAAGACACACATGCATTCTCCCAGGCTGGCAAGTGGGTTTTATCTAATTTTATCCAATTTAAAGGATTGGAAGAGGCCACCTGTGGCACCAAGTTGACAAGCATTTGAGGCTAATTGAAGAAAATGTGTAATGGATAGAAGACATCTGTCTCAATCCATGTTCCCTCTGCTGCTGTCCACTGCCACTTCAGTGCCCAGCTCCCAAAAGACCGAGTTGATGAGTACCAGCATGAAGTGTAGTAGGAATGCAATTGAATCAAATTGATTGTTTTCTATTTATCTTTTCTTTGTGATATTACCACCAATACTAAATGAGACGTATCCTTATCTAAAATGAGACTTCCACTTTAAAATTAAACTTTGTTGTATAAAAGTATTTTACCATAATCAAATATTATGTACCTCTTCACTTACTCTCAACTAAGGATGCCTAAACATGTCAGTACACTTATTAGGTGTCAGAATCTCTTAAAGAAGGAAGAAGAAGGAAGAGAACATGGAGGGAGAGGAGGAGGGAAAAAAAAGGTAGAAAAGGAAGAAGAGAAAGAGGAGGAGAAGGAGGAAAAGAAGAAAAAAGAGGAGGAGGAGGAGGAGAACAAATATGAAGAAACAATATATGCACTCCAGACAGGCTGGTCTTGATCAGTTGTTGTCTGGTGCTTCTCCCAACTTTTGAAGTTCTTCAATGCAATAATGGTGTCTAGCACAGAGTGACCCTCCACAAGGGTTTGCTCCAGTACAAGGGTAGGGCAAACACACTGTCACAATCAGATCAATACTTTTTTGAAGCCAAAATATAGCATCAGTCCCAAGTGGGGCCTTTCACAAGGCCATAGATCTAGTCTCTTCTAATGAACTATGGCTACTTTCTGCAAGCAGTTCCCGTTCGGTCTTGCCGTCGTCTTGGTACTCATCTAGCCATCTGCCAAGGAAAGAGTGAAGACAATATGAGAGATTATTTAAAGAAGAAACATTATTTTAAACAAAAAATAAAATATAGAAAAGATTTAAAGGGCCCTTTAGGGAGGAGCTCAGGAATTTGAAGATCAGTTAAGATTTCAAGCTATATCAAATGATTGTTAAGAATGCAACTTCAGCAAACTTTTTTCCTATGCTCAAGCTACATCGATTCATCCTAAAATGTCAGTGTTTTTAGAAACATCTTATTACAACATTAAAAATATTCTAATGTATCTTGGAATTAGTAAAAATTTATCATTTGGACTTTCTTTAGTGAAAGTCTATTTCTCTCCTTTCACGTGACTGGTAGGTATATTTGGTTGCCAAGAAAAACTCTAGAATAGCAATCTTCCAGAGAACTATTACACAAAGCACATATATAAAAAAAGTAAATGGGGAAAAGGTTAACTTAAATATTTTTATTTTAATAAATTAAAAAATGACTATTCCTGAGATATATTACTGCAATGGTCTTAATATTTGTGGCCCTTTCTCCCCAAATCCATATGTTGAAATCCATTGAAAGGTGCTTAAGTCATGAAAATAGAGCCTTCATGAATAGAATTAGTGCCTTTATTTAAAAAAAGATTCCAGAGAGATCTTTTGTCCCTTCTGCCATGGAGGAGGACATAGTGAGATGTTGTCAGTCTGCAACTCGGACAAGGGCCACCACCAAAAGACAACCAACTACTGTGGCACCTTACTTGTAGACTCCCAGCATCTTGAACAGTGGGAAATATTTCTGTTTATAAGCTACCTAGTCTATGGTATTTTATTATAGCAGCGTGAACGAACCAAGACAACAGCATTTTTTTATTCTATATTTTGGAAATCTGGTATGTACCTTACACCTGCAACACATCTCAATTTGGAATAGGTCTATTCAAGAGTCCAAGAGATATATGGCTAGTAGGACAGCATAGTTCTAGAGTTAGAACCCCCTTGATATGAATCCTGAATATATAAAGCATACCAAGGTAAGGAACTTAAGCTATGTGTGCCTCAGTTTCTTCATATATGAAATAGAAGTATCACAGAACCCATCTTAGAGGTCTGCGGTGAGAATCAAATGAGTTCAGATATGAAGATAAGGCTTCACCATGGAGCCCATTCCATGGTAAGAGTGCAAACAGTGCCAGCTTGGGACATTCCTCTAAAATCTCCTCAGCCATACAGAAGACAGGTGTGTAAATCTTAGAAGATCCCACAACATAATAGAACCCTCTCAGTTGTTTTTTTAAATTCCACAGTAAAGTCATAAACAATTTCTTTTTCAGAGACCTCTTGTCATAAATTAGAAGGGGACTTGATTTTAAATGGCTGATAAGTTATGCTGGGGAAACTAGTAAAACTGTGCCTTCTAAATTCTCCATAATCTCAGTAGAATTTTCTGACAAGTCAGTTTCATAGCAAACTCAGTAATTTGTGCAGATATTTCTTCCTTAGAGGATAATTCACAAAATTATTGTCATAGAATGGAAATAACAAGTTGATAGACACTAAATTAAAATTCCCCAGAATGCCATCGGACCAAGAGACCCTGCTCCATGGCTGTCTCATTTATGGTTTGCGCATGTCATCTAATCTCTTTTGGTGTCAGTTTCCTCACCTCTCAAATGAAGCATGAGACTAAGTGCTATCTATGGTTTCTTCCACCAGCAATGGGAGCAAGAAAATTTTCCTCTTTTATTACTATGTAACCCTAGGCCCTGAGAGATAATGAACAAAGGAGACTCTATTAATATTGTTATAATTCAGTGAATAATCATTATTAGGTGTAGTGTTTAATATGATGTAGTATAATATAGCAAGACATTTAAATATTTTAATTTGTATCATTTTGTCCCTTAAATATCCAAATTCCAAGGTTTGTAATTATTCTAAAATGTTGGCAGGCCCTAGAGAAGTGTTACCTTCATCTTGCTTTTTACTCTCTTGCATTGCCAGTTAAATTAATTTTAGCTCTGAAGAAATATGACTATTATCCTCTGCTCTGGATGCTTCTTGATTTTTTAAATGTGACACATTTATAAAAATACTAATCTTTTATTTACTCCTTATGTTTTCCCATAATTATAATAATCAGAACAATAAAACTTTGTCATATAATATTAAACATAGCTTCATATGATACCAAATATCTAGATGTAATATACAACCAAATGTCATATATGTGCTGGCCAATATAGTCACCACTAACCATCTGTGGTTATTGAGTACTTAAAGTGTAGCTAGTTCAACCCAGGACCTGAATTTTTTATTTGATTTGATGTTAATTAATTTAAATTTGTTAGCCATATGTAGCTAGTGGGTACTATGCTGGATGGTGTTGTGCAGACCTAGGTTTTTAAAAATAAAAGTTGGTCAATATTTTGGAGAGTTCTAAATATTTGAAATATGGCCTAGAAAAAAAAGGGAATTTTGCTACTTCATTTGTGTGTATGACATTGTATCTAAACATTTCTTTAAAATTGCTTCTATTATAATAACATTTATCATCATGGAGCTTCTTGTAATTGTAAGGCATGTTTGCAAGTACTTTATGGACATTGTGTAAAATCCTCAGACAACCCTGCAAAATAGATGTCATTATTTCCATTTTACAAAGGAATAAACTGAGGCTCCTAGAACTAGTCAATGGAGGTTTTGTAATTCAAATCCAGTTCTGAAAAACTTTAATCTTTGCTCTTTTCACTCCCTATTAATAAATAAAAATATTTCCTGCAAAGAAATAAAGATATAAACTCTTCTCAGAGCTTGACTGTTATAAAATGGCAATAAATACCATGACACCCATACATTTTAAATGGTTGTGTATTAACAAAACAAAGAGCTGATCAGAGAAACGTTACTCATTTTGTTCACACTTATTCGCAACTACTTATTAAGTTTCAAAAGAATGGATATTTCCAAGAATCAAAATTATTGTAAGTGAAATCCACTCAGTCTACCAATGTGCTTCTCTATGCATCTGAAAGAGTGTACAACACGTGACCAGACAGTGATGCCAAACACCTGCTAACCCCAGCGCACACAAGCTCTCAGCTTCATTTAATATCACATCCTTTCCCCCTTAACACCACGTGGGAGTTCCTTGAAGACAAGGGCACTTCCCTTTTTATCTCTATATGCAGGACTTGGTATAGCGCCTGACACCTTGGACGCATGTGATGTTTCTGCATGAATAAATGGATGGACAAAGGAATAAATGTAATTCATGAGTTCTTTAGAATCAAGGAACTTGCAGTCACACAGATAGTCACCTTGGCACCTGAGCCCTCACATAGGTCTCTATCATAGCCCGTAAACATTAATGTCTGTTTTTCAGTGAGTGTTCACTGAGTCTGTGCAGGCAGGGACTGACTGCCTTATTGCTGGATCTCCTTGACTACTCCACTTTTTGATGGGGTAGGTGTTCAATTACTACTTGACTGAATGAATGAATCAATGTATTCTATAGATTATTTCATAATTGGGAAAATTAGTTTTATAATTTCTATATATTGTGCATTTTATTTTAATATGTATTTGATATTCAATTTATAACAGCTCTATAAAGGAAGATCATCTGATTTAATTATTCTCATAAAATTTTGAAAACTAAAGATCAGAGGTTTTAAGTGATTCAATCATAAATGGCCAGTGAATTACAGAGCTGCCCTTGAAACTTGATTTTCCTCATTTATGTCTACACTATGTTAGAATAATGCTTATAGTTTACAGTTCATACACATCACTTTGTTTGATTTTAATTCAAATGAACTAAGAAAAATGGATATTATTCCCATTTTACTTACATATGAGGAAATTGAACCTCAAAGAAATTGAGTGGGGTACCCACAATTGAGAAACAGAATCAAGAAACTGTTTTCTAAGTCCTAATTTAGTTTTCTTTCCATTTTAGCACACTATTGCAGGAGCAAAAAATATTAAATATTACAAATAAAGAGAAAGTTATTAGTGCTGATACAGAATAGCTTCCTGAGGAGAGAAGGCCTTCAATTCTGGTTTGAAAGGAGGGAATGATGCAGCAATGAATGGCAGGAGGCATGCTGATGACACAGCTGGAATGAACTGGACAAAAGGGAGCATAATTTTGCATAATGAGGTATTAAGTTATCACACACCTGTTGCATGGAAACAGCACCTTTTGATCACGATCTTCCTCTTCAGATTTAACAACAATACTCTCAAGGAACCACCCATTACCTGTGTAAATTGACAGAGGAGACCCACTTTGACTCTCCAGCATAAAACATCCTAGTACTGTGATTTTTTTCATAGACTTTCCAAATGTTCTTTAAGTACACTTGTCAGGTAATTTGAAAACAAAAATATTTACATCCAAATTATACCAGTAGAAAACTGAAAGCATAAGTGACAACCTAATTACTCATAGTAGTAGAAGCAGAGGAAAAAACAAGATTCACTATTAGGGACACAAGCTATTAAATTCCGGAAAGAAAAGGATTTAAAAGGAAAGAATAAAGAAAAAAGTAAATTCACATGAAAGTGTTTCCATACATTATTTATAGAAAACTGATATATTTAAACAATAATATAAAGTCACAATCAATCATTATTCTCAATGGTGAAAATTTAGAAGTTACCACTGGTCAATGTAATTAAATAAAGAAATAAAAGAAAGGAAAGAAGAGAATGAAAAGTAATGTACTGAAAAAGAGAAAACAGAACTATCATTAGTCACATATAATGTGACTTTTTAAATTAAAAACCAAAAGAAATTTCAGAAAATAGTAGACTTAAAAGAGGTGAACAAATTTTAGATATGTACTGTAATAAATATATAAAAATCAATTACATTTCTGTTGACCAGAAAAGAACAGTTAGGAAACATAATTCAATGAATATTACAGTATTGCATTGCTATAAAAACTTAAGAATGTATTGTTCAATCTAAAAATAGATGTAGTGTAATTCATAGAAAAAATATTTAAATTTAAGGAATGGTAGTAAAGAAGATAAACAGAAAGCTAGCTCATATTTGCAAGTATGAACTTCCAGAGATATCAGTTTCTCTCAAACTAATCTAAAGCTTCACTATAATTACATCAAATTAACCACAGAGTTTTGTCAGAAAATTGATGAGCAGATGATAAAATGTAACGTGGATGAGTAAAGCCCAAAAATATCAGAGGGACTCCTGATTAGAGTAAGGTAGGTGAATCATCCTGACAGTTATCCAAATGTATTATAAATGCATACTAATGGCAACAGTACAGAATTGGCACGGCACAGATAAATTGACTGAAGTAACACAAAAAAGGATTCAGAATTGACCTGTGTAGTTACACAAATGTGGCACAGGCTGTCCCCTGCTTTGTACAGTAGTACAGAACCACATAAAGGACTGCATGCTGAAACCTGCCAAACAATCTTAATAACCAATGGGGAAAACTATGATTGTTCTTTGTGAAACATTTTTGCCGAAACATCAAAAATTTTCTTAGTGCTAGTTAAAAATGTATAAGAAAATAACAATATTAGTACTAATATTTAGTACACTAATTTAAGACAGAACCATTGAGAATTAAAAGGTATGTTTCTTTGTAAATAAAAGTCTATCAAGACTATTTTGAATGGTGCTTGCCTTCTTTGTCTTGCCTTCTTTATAACTTAAAGAACAAGTATCTTTTCTATGCTAAATTGTGAAACCACTTTCTTAATTTCAATCAGCTTTCAACATTTTTATCCTCTGTGCTTTTAATGTCATACAATACCTCTGAGAGTGTATTTTATGTAAAGTTTTTACCAACATCACTTCCTCTGTGACATGTTCATCCTTTCTGTCACAACCACTTATCTCATTTATGGCCACAAGTTCCCTTCACAAAGTTTCTCTGCTGCTTATCTGAAGTCTCTCAAATGTGGCAGTGTCAACATTCCCACTGTCACATTTTTCGTCTGTCATTCCACTTTCGTTTGATTTGAACTTCACTTCCAGAATTGTCACTTTTTATTTCTTTGTCATGCTTTCATCTTTAAGTATGCATTTGTTGTAAAATGTCACATGAGTTTATCACCAGGAGACAAGGAGTCCATACAATGACATGCTTTGCTGTCTGTGCATGAACTTGTGCATGGGCAGTAACACATACCAACAGACTTTGAAAGAAGCAAAGTGATTTGCTGCTGCTCAGAATGCGCATCTGTTATTTATGTAGAGATTTGTGGACTGAAGAACTAATAGAGAAGTTTTTACTCTATGCAACAACAGTTAATAGATCATGTTACCTGACATGTGAACCATGTTGTCAGGGGATTCATGTTATTTAACTAAATAATTGTAATGGAAATTGTGCCTACAAAAATCATGCAAAACTAGGACTATCTGGATCTGATAAAGACGATGTTGTGGAGCACTCAGGAAAAGATGGAGAAGGTGATAAATTGTAGTACAACTGATAACCCACATAGAAAAAAATGAAAGCAGATTCCATTTTCATATCATATACAAATATTAACTACAGATGCAGTAAATACCTAAATCTTAAAGTTAAGACTAAATATTTGTATATATGTGCATATGTATAAACATATATGAACATTTATAGAACACCCTAGGAGTACAGTAAACTTGATACAAAATATGCTGATCATGAGAAAAAAATACCAAATTCTTAAATTTAACTACATTAAAGTTAAGAATTTAAGTTCATTAAAATATATCACAAACTGGACAAAATATTGCAGTAGTAACTGCTTGTTGTTCTCCCCTTTTTCAATCACTGCAATGCTAAAGCCCACATTCCCAGGTATCATTGCAACTGTACATAACTATATGATTAATTTCTTAGCAATGAAACACGATGAGAAGTAGTGTGTGCAGTTTCTACCTCACTTGCTTTAAAATGATCTTTGTCTCAAGAGTGGGAAAACGGCGCTGGCTGGTGTGCCTCAGCGGATTGAGTGCCAGCCTGTGAACCTCAGTAGATTGACTGCGAATCACGAGTTTGGTTCCTAGTCAGGGTACATGCCTGGGTTGCGGGCCAGGTCCTTGGTTGGTGGCATGCGAGAAGCAACTGATCGATGTATCTCTCACACATTGCTGTTTCTTTCCCTCTCTTTCTCCCATCCTTCCCATCTCTCTAAAAGTAAATTAAAAAAATCTTAAAAAAAGAAAGAGTGCAAAAATTGGGGACATCTATAATAGTGTCAAGAATTAAACAATGACCTTTGCTTTCACACTAAATATTATAGACAAGAACATGTACTTCCACAAAAAAGGAACTTCAATAGACAATTTAAAAAAATACAAGAATGCTCACTCTTCTTAGAAATCAGGAAAATGCAAATTAAGACCACAATGGGATACCATTTTATACCCATTTAGAGAAGGCAAAAATCAAGCATACCAGGTATTTGTGAGAATATGGTACAATATGAATTCTTATATACTATAGATGAGAATAAAACAGTACAGTCACTTCTGAAATAAAGTACTTTATCTTATAAAGCTGAATATAATTATATTCATTGATCCAGCAATTTAATTTTTTTCATTTACTGTGATGCGAGTTTTTGAAGGCTCAGTATCTTTGACATTTGGCTTAACAATTCTTTAACATGAAGACTGTCCTGTGCATTACAGAATGCTTAGCAGCAACCCAGGCCCTCTACCCACTAGCTATTAGCAGCTCCCCAAACCTAATGTGATACCAAAAAAAAAAAAATTCTTCAGGCATTTGCCAGATGTCCCTGTGGAGGCAAAAATCACTTCCACTTGGGAACCAACACCCTAGAGGAATTTGTGATCCTATACACTGGGAGGCACGCACAGGAATGTTCATTTCAGTCTGCAACTCTTGAACTGAAAAGAATGTAACTATTTATTAAGAAAATATAGAATATTAATTATGTGACATTATGTAAAAGAATATTCCATAGACATGGAAATAAATTGCCTATAGCATCACACAAGAAACTGAATGAATCATAGAAGCATGATCTTGAGTGGAAAAACAAATCAAGTCACAAAAGACTTCATATAGCACATTTCAATTTTTACAAAACAAAAAGGGCTATCAAAAATATTCTCAAGGATACATGCATAATTAGTAAAGCCTTTTTCTTTTTTAAAGCAAGGATAAAAAAGTCAAAAAATGATGAACCCCAAATTCAAGATGGCTGCTTAGGGGAGAGCATAGGGGCAGCAAATAACAGGTAGAGGCACAGCTATTGGTAACGTTCTAGGCTCAAAGTGGGTGGTAGGTTACCAGACTTAATATAAACAAATTTTGAAAAAGAGAGCCTAGTTGTTCTGAATACTAGGCTAATTTTTTTTCTGTTAATGAAAAATATGCAGAATGTAGCAAGGATAGCTTAGTTAAGGAATTTAAAAACTATGCAGTAATAGTTACTTTCCACTTTCCATAGAGAAGCCCATCAATATTCCCAAATATTCTGCCAAAACTTGGCCCTCACCACTAGCATGCCTATTATATTTTCATTATGTTTCCTGTTCTTCAGGACTAGGCTACGTCCCCTTGCCATGTGGTTCGATATCACTCTGTGTCACTTTTCCACTATGTGTCATACTTTATTATACTTACTTATTTCCTATGTGTCTGCCCCCACTAGGTTCTGCCTTGTTGACATTTGAGTGCCCAGACTCTGGCAAAGGTCCTCAACAAAGAACTCTTATATCAGAGAGCGGTGCTTTTCAACAAGGACCTGAGGACCACATGAATCAGAATCCACTCAGGTACTGAGGAGGGGGTGAAATGATACATTTCTGATGACTCAATACCTACTGAATTCGAATTTCTGAGTGTGGGCCCAGGAGTTTATGTTGTTTGTTTTCAGATATTCATATTTGAGGCATTACAAAATTTGCTGTAAGTTTAGGGTTGTGTTAAAGTTTTCTATTTATTTGAGGTTCAATACCCACAGATACAGCTTTGTTCAAGTAATAAAAGAATGTATTTTCTCTCTTTAAAAATGGGAAGCAAAACAAAAGGCTTGCAAGTTTAGGTGAAGGCTTTCCTTTCCTGCACAAATTTTATTAATTAGTGTTTCACCGAACAAAAATAATGAATAAGCCAGTATTTAGAAGTTTATTGCTTTTAGCTCCTTAAACTTTTAAAATCACATTTTTTCCTTTTTTCTTGTCATTTTTAATTTTTATATAAATCAACCTTATCCTTTATTTGTTTTTTATTTTTTATCATATCATCTTGTTTTATTTA